TATGCACTGTGAATCGATTGATTCAGCGTATTTGCGATTCAGTAGACTATTCTTAAACTAGATCGCGGGGCTAACAGAGTGGATTGCAGTGTACTTCGCGCTATAACACGCATTTCGTCGGTCGAGCGCGTATTTTGCATCAGATTCGCCCGCTTTTACCACTACCATTTATACTTCCACCACTACCATTTATACTTCCACTACACCACCCCATCCTTACTACCACTACTATCGTCGGCAGCAGTCACCACTGTCACTGTCGTCCCTTCTCGCTTGATCTATGTGTTTGTCGGAGCGAAATTAAGTTATTTCATTATCGCACGCTATTGTAGCTACGTCTGTATAGACACGCTGTTGTTTCGGCGCCGAACTGGCTTCATCCGTCTCGAGAGAGAGAGAAAGAAAACTCGCCCGAAACACACATTAGGATTCTATAAGTTTTTGTCTCTCTTGTGTTATCAAGTGACGTGTTAATCCCGCACTCGATAATGTACGTACATATCTCGTACACGTTTCTTTCCCTCATATATGCATATTTAATTATAAAAAGAATTACATAATAAATAATAATAGATAATTCTATGATATGATTATATACAAATTTCGTGTATGATAAAATCGTAAGAGGAAAAATAAATATTATATATCGTATATAAGTTGAGATCGTAACACACGTACGTTTAAGTCAATAACATTTTCGTTCGTCATTGCGAAGCGAAAATAAACACATTCCGCGCGATTTGTTTATTCGCGAGTTTGTATACATCGAGTGTCGCAATCTCTTCGCTTAGACGCGCATTCCGCAACACGTGCGCATCTCTCTCCCGAAAACGAGTTTGAACGGCTCTCTCAGTCAGTCAGTTCCTCTCGTCGAGTTCTCGCGTCGCGGATCTCGCATGGCGAACCTGGAGCCTAACTCTGTCGTGTTTTCTGTTTCAGTCTGACGGAGAACTGGCATTGATCGTGAAGTAATTTACTTCTGTGTCAAGGTGAGTCGATAAGTACGTTTGTTTTGAGAATTAGTTGCTTCGTAAACTTGAGAGATACGAGTGGAATAAAATTGTCACGCGATATCGAGTCTCGCATCTCAGTTTAATTAATTTATCACTCACGAGGATAAAATGTACCATCTGTAGCGTATTATTTAAATCTTTTGAATGCAAATTTTCACGGAAATTTTTACAAATTTCAAGGGTAGCGATCTCAGTTGCGCAAGAAGAGTTCGTTCATTATTATCGCGTTACTGGAAATACTATTTCTAATTGTTAATTACCAGCCGCTCGCGTTCTCTCTATTAACTCGTGTACGAAGATCGGCGATAAGATCGCCGCGTGTTCTATTGTTCTTTCACTCGTATATATATACCGATCTGCCATTCATACGCCGTATAATTTTCCTCGGTTTCTCTCTGGCTTTTCCGCCCGTGCGAAATTTCGACACGATTCGAGAATCCTTACACGTAATCGTGTAAGAATAATGTTTTTATCCTCGCGTTCGAACGAGCCGGTGATGAATACGAGGAAAGCCGCATGAGCTAACTGTTCCCTTCGCGCCCGTTTTCATTCAATTAGACTCGCTATTTATATCCGCGCGAGCTTCTCTCTCGCAGAAGATCAAGACGATAATCAAGTCGTTGGAAACGTACGACGATTCTCTAATCGCGACGAAAGGCGCGCGACGCTTTTAATTATGTCAGCCGGCGTCTAATGAAACCAGAACGAAATGCATCGTTAAATTTGTATATTTCCGCGCTAATAATCACGCACGCGAGCTCGTAACTTGCATTATTACCATATATTACTTAACCCATTGATAACATGGATACCTCGCGGTTGCGATATAATAACGGCACGCGATAACAGCATTTATTAGAAAATCGAAAATTAATTTCTGATATCTGAATCAACGACGGAATATTTTATATACTTTGGAGAAAAGAATAATTTTGCGTAAAATAAATGTGTTATATATTTGCGCGAAATTTTTTTCAAGCAGTTCTTACGACACATCTTTATATTTTTTTTATGTTAGAAATGCAATTAACGTAATCATTATAGATCGTACACGAAGTTAAACTATTGCAATACCCGACGCGAATAATTTCGACACAAGAGCGAGGTAAAGCTTTCCATTTCTTTTCTTCTGGAGAGGAAGAAGGAAAGACAGAAAGAAAGAGATGGAAAAAGAGAATCACGAAGCGTGACTGTGAATTCTCGTCTCAGTCGTGAAATCACAGTCGGTCGTATCCCTCTCGCTCTCGTTTCGTATCCTTTCCCTTTCTCTTCCTCACTTTATTTCATATTTCGCCTTTACTTTCCATCACCTGGCGCGATGGACGTCTCGTCCTCATAATAAATCAATCATTATTTAATCACGAGCTATATCGCCGTTGTGATAACTGACAATTATGCGCGCTGCCACACTGATATCAGTTATTTCACGTGATAGAAGCTAATTATTTAACGCGTTTATCGGAATTCTCCCAGCTTGTCTCTCGAGCCCGATCATATTTTCGATAACGTTCACGGAAAAAAATATTAGTAACCATAGCTAAATCTTAGATAATTTATGATAATAGTTTTAAGCTATAATTTAATAGGGAATTCCCCGTTAAATTATAGTTAAAAATAGCGTTTATAGTATAGTATATAATAGCTAATATTTTTTTTCCGCGTTGGGACGTAATTGCGTGAATTTTTCTTCCCCGTAAATATGCAAATCGTATATAGGATTCGATAAGATCGATGTTTCCTCAGAAAACATTTATTATCGGAGGTGCCATAATTTTTTTTTTTTTTTCAATAGTCTTTCTTTAACATTGTACGTTCACCGGCTTTCTATAATCCCGTTTATTTTGCGCCGCATCGCATTATCGTCGCTCCGAAAAGTGTAATCCTTTCACGCTCGTTACGGTTCGTTAATCCATATCTCGGCAGAAACGGACGGACGTAATTTAAAAGCGAAAAGGAGAGGGGATCAAGCATCACGGATTGTTACGCGTGTTTACCGAATTTAATCAGTCCGCTTGAGTCGTTGACCTTTCCTTTATCCCGGTGATGCCGAAAATTGCGAGCAAAATATTCTCCAGAGAACGGATCGATACCCCTGAAATAAAAAATATTTTTTTCCCTGCGTATGTTTTTCCGTTGTATTGTACAATCCTGTTGTTAGAGGGAGATGTTTGCGTTTAACATCGAATTGTAACAATTTGTCATCAGTATTCCGTCATCGTATTCGATCTCTGACGCAGCTCGAGGGCTTTCCCACAATTACCGGGAATTATTCGCGAGCAATAAAAAAAATTGGCGGAAATGTATGGAAATCGGAGAAAGTCGTAATATACAGACGTAAAACACACGATTATACGAACGGATATGTAATATAGAAGTCGCGGAGAAACGTGTCGTGGAATATATCGGAAAAATGAAAGACGTTGGAAAATAAGAGAGAGAAAGAGAGGAAAATAGGAAAATGGACGGAGGGTTTATGTAATACGATAATGTAATTTAGGCGATACGATGAAGTAAGGCCGAGCTATTAGCATATTGAGCAGCGATATATCGAAGTGAAAAAGTTGGAATATCCGTCTATAGGTAATGGGAAGAACGGAAGGCTCTCGGATGTATGTGTGCAAAGAGAGAGAAAGAGAGAGAGTAACCGGATGTTGGCGCTCGAGAACCGCGAGATACGAGACGCGAATTCGATTTTGTTTTGCCTTCGCGGTCGTAAAGCTGTTTCTATCGTCGGTCGTAACTTTTAGAGCGCGAATTTCTCTATGAAGATTTTATCTGTTTATTCCGGAGTATCTCCCTTAGTCGTTCGGGGGCTAAAATCGGGCTTCCTTATCGATGAACTCGCGGGATGCGAGTCCGAGTTCTCGTCCTGGATTATTACAACCCCCTGGAAACACGTTTCTGGAATCGCGGTATCGTGGGTTCCTGCCGAATCACCCCTGTACGGACGAAATTACGGGGGTGGGCGCTGAAGGGGTGGAGGAAGAAACTAAGGGAAGAAAAGACGGGAGTGCGAGAGAGAGAGAGAGAACGAGGGCGCATCGTTGGCGCATGCGTGCCGACGCAACAATATGGTGAATTCCGCGAAGCGGCCCAGTATCCGCCCGACCGTCAGCTGATCGATATACTTTCGCACGCACGCCACGTCATACGCGCCGTATACCTGAGTGCGAGCGGGACACGCATGTCATGCATCGGCCTGACCGTCACGCGTGCGACTTTTACTTTATGCGGTGCCGCGCATTCGCTGACGACGATCTGTGCTGCTCGGGATTTCGCGTTTGTGCCGTTACGTCATACGTGCCGTTCTCGTTTTCGTCGTCCTCGTTGCCTTCCTCCTTCTGCCTGTTGTCGAACGGACGACGACGGGCCCTCCTCGACGAAGGTAGAGCCCGAAGGGAGAAAGGGTTACCTCGCCGATCGCAGGTACGTCGAGAAAGAAAACGTGGGCCTGAGATCCGCGTCCGCCAAATCGCGGATATAGTATAAGTCGCCTTGTGATTTCTCGTGGAACGGCCAAAGTTCCAAAGAGATTGATCAGTGTGCCAAGTTTTCACATTTTTCAGAAGCTTTAATGAATCGTTCGCAAATTTTTCGGAGAAACATCTTCAATTACGCGGATAATTCGAAACCTTACTCGGGGAACGTGATACTATGTGTACAGAGTATCATGATCTTTATTTAAACGCACGTAGGAGGCCTTCTTAGTTTCGCGTTACGATTTTTAATTGAATTTTAAAAAGAATATTTTTTTATATACCGTATAATAGATATTATTAATATAATTTTATTAAGAATAGATTTTTCCATTATAAATACTGAAGCAATTTCTCATTAAGTTAATGGAAGATTTAAAATTGTTTTACTAATACATTATTTAGTTTTTAATTTATCAGCTTATCAAATTTTTAATAATTTTCGTCCGATAATCGCACGACGTTCTGTATCATCTCCCATGCATTCTTCGTCGTTGCATTCGGAGCGCATAATCTCGACGGTGTCGAGTGTCGCGGTTAGTCAGCGTTCGCCGCTCACGTAAGCGACGTAATCGCGCTTTCGGGATAAACAAGAACCCCCGCTATGGAGACGCGTCGCGTCTCTCCTTCTGGAAACGCGATACTCGTGCGCATTCATTTTATCGGGCTCAATCTGGCCTAAAAAACCGAAGAAAAAAAAAAGGTCTTTATCTCGCGCCGCGTGACCTCTGCCATCGGGCTCTCCGTAGCCGTGAAATTCACTCCGAGATCGCTCACTCGGTGATCTCGGAGGAGCCGTTCATTGACTCTCTCCCTCTCCTCTCTCTCTCTTTCTTCTCCGCATTCTCCCTCTCCCTTCGACGCGGTGCATCTGCATCACTCGCTCGCGCGCACTTCGCCGTGCATAAAGTCGCTTCTCTCTCGGTTCTTCCCCGGTCTCCCTCCGCGAGCGATTCGCCCCACCAGTACTCGAACCTCTTCGCGACGAGGAAGAGGTGGTCTGTGTGCCTCGCCGGAGAGGAACGAGCCGCTCGGCTCGAAGTGGAGTTTATTCCGTGTTCTCCGGTGTGTCTAGTGTCAGTTCTGGCGCAACCGCGTCTGCACGCGCGGAATTATTATTTTGTTCTCGCGCGGCGTATTTTTCTCTGAAAGAGCCGAAGAGGAATATCTGTGCGCGTGGAGGAAGAGCCCGAGGACGACGTTGCTCACCAGGTTCGTTCGGCGTCGATCGGCCCTTCCGAAGGGACGTCGTGAGAAAAACAGAAACCGGAATATACGACTTGAGGACGACGCGTTTATCGTTACAAAAGATTACGATCCCTTGTCGGGAGGTTGAATGAACTTTGAGTGCAGCTGCCTTGCTGCTGCGTTTGGCACGTTTCATTGTCCCTGACCTATCCCTGGCTGGGTGGGGGAGGGAAGGGAGGAGGGGGCGTCTGGAATTTTCAACCTTGAATGCTCCCGCGATCGTGATTCGCAAAGCGTGCAGTCGGCACGACTGTGAAATTTTCTCTCCGTCTTTCCCGCTTTACATATAGCACATATATCTGGTGACAGTGATCTAGCAAAAATGCTCAAGGTTCGCTTGGGTCAGTCCTTGAGATCCACGCGAGGCAGCGAAGCGCGATCGAGCGTTTTAATGCCGAGACGTACGGTCGTCTTACTTAAAAACGAATGAATTTCATTTGGTGGTTTCGATCAACAATTTGTCCCGTTGATCATTTTCTCGTCACCTTTGACGTTTCTCTTCCCGCGAAATTCCTTCGCTTCTCTTATTGTGCAAGCTTGCGCTTGATAAATGCGCGACTTGAGCAACTCGAGGATTTAGTAAGGACACCTTTATCGACGCGAGGGATCCGCAAGAGGAGGAGAGTGCTCTCCCGCAGTGGATGACCTCGCGTAAGATAATCTCGTCGGTTAATCGCGATTTATCTCACGGCGGTTTCGCAATTGCTTTTAGGAACGTCGGCTTTACGGGGCCCGCTCGCGTTCCTATACTCCGGATACGGCGATGAATAGCTGGACGAGCGGTTATAATTAATTCCAGCGTACACGTGACTGCGATATTCTGTCCCGGTACAGTTTTACGACGACGCGTTGCTCGAACGTGAGATACATAAGTTACGCGCTCTTCTGCGTCGACTGTGCACAAATAACAAGCGGTCGAGATCTTTCATTACTACTCGCTACTAAAATTGCTTTTTATTATTAATATATATGCACATTTAGATTTATTATATATATATATATATTTTTATGTTTAATATTTATTTATTATCAATATATTTATTATAAATGTATATTATAAATATTTTCGTTTAAGAGAGCCTGTTTATCGTGGGAGAGTACTTATTTGTATGCATATTTTAATGGTGTCCCCATTTACAGTGGATCGACAAAATTTCTAGGCGTATACTAATTCGCTACTAATTCGCTACTCAGAACGTACTTTTATTTATTATTGACATTTAACTGACGTCGCAATTAATTCGTGCTAATTAATATGATATCGCATAAAATTATACTCGAAATAACTTTTAAATGCAACATATATTTTAATTATTCCGTTTCTCCTCGCGCGTAATGATGCTAAAATTAAGATGCGAGATATGTTATTTCTGGAAACGTTAATTATGATAATATACGCACACGTGTAATACATATTAGTCGAGAACTAATTCGCAATTATATTGATTGTATGTGCAGGTCTTAGTGTTGATTCATCGCGGAGGCTGCAAAGGCGAACATCATTATCGGTGAGTAACAGCTGTTTGTTTTAATGAAAAATAAAATTTCCGTTATGGATTTCTCGTGCCACGATCGCAGTAGTTTACGATATATTCCCTCGCGGCTCGTAAAAATAAAAGCAAACGAAACTCTTAGAAATATGTATTTTTATTGCGGCCGCGTTATCGCAGAGATAAACACGCGCTAAATGGGATTACGATTAGCGAAAAGCGGGTCGCGACGTTTTCGCGCATCGAAGGCGAAAGCATAGCTGGTGCAAACGGTCCGCTGGAGAAGGGTTAGGAAAGGGGGACGCAAAGTGGTCAGACTGGTGTAACAGGACGTTACCCTCTGGTTAAGTTGCGTGTGGCAAGGGTAGGACGATATTGTTGTTGCGCCTTCCTTCGCGCATGGTTTTCTCTGGCCCTGCGTCTTCAGCAGCGGCAACGGTTCTCAAATCTTACTAGACATCGTGCATTTCGGTGCTTAACAATCGAATCGAATCAGATCAATTTAACAAATACATTTATTTATTTTTTTATTTTCATTTATTTATTTTTTTCAATAATACATAGCGCTTCATATTTTTTCGGTAAATAGTCTTATATTTTTTAGCTGCTTAAGTTATTATATTTATATTTGTATTTATTATATTTTATTATTTATGTATTATATTTTATTTTGATGCGAATGTACATATTTCATCTTTGTTCTTCTTTGTTTCTTTTATCTTAATTTTTTTCCAAAAAAAAAAAAAGAAAATATCGAAATCTCGATCGCATTATATTTCGCTTTATACCTTCGATCGCCATTCCACCTGAAGCAATGTGATTATTTACCTCGCGCATCTGGCTTCTCATTTTTCATCTCTGTTTCACATGCCTATTATACGCCGCCGCGAGCCGATGTCCTGGAATGCCAGACAACGAAGACGAATAATGACTCGCAAACATTAAAAATCATGCATCGTCATATGTTCTATCTCGCGGCTATTTCATTTCGTCGTTACCTCTTCGCGTGATACCCACTGATACGTATACGTGAGAGACACAGTATCCTTGGAACAGTACCCTTCCGCGGCTTTCGGCATGCCTTGGAATATTACACGATCGTCATAAACCACCACGTCGACCGCAAAGGGTTAACCTAATGTTACGAAACGAGATAGTTGACGTGGCGCTGAATGAATCAGTCCTTATATGATAGAATAATATCGCTCGGTGGTTTCGCGGTATCCACGCAACTCGATCGTATTGCATTATATATCATTATGCATTATAGGATATACACGAGATAATTTAGCGCTGATCAGTATGCGCATTTCTTCGTACTTAAATACAGGGTATCTAAATAAGTGCGATAAATTTTAGGAGATGGTTGTTTGTCGAAAATTAAGGGGATTTTTTTTATATAAACATATACTCTTATATCCCTCCGTGAAAATTAAGTTATTATTTTTTTTTTCTTAAATTTCAGACAAATTAAAAAATAAAACTTGGTGAAATATTTTCCGTTTATGTGTAATTTGTCTATTTGAGAAAAAAATAAAAACTTAATTTTTACCTCCCTATTTAGAAAAGTATAACTCCTTAGGAAGTATGTTTATATAAGAGATCTCTTAATTTTCAACAAAGAATCATTTTCTAAAATTTTTCGCACTTATTTAGATACACTCCGTATATGCATACTTAAATTTGTCATACCTATAAGAATACATACTCAATTCTATTAAATTTAATATGCTGTCTAGATTGTCAAACCAGCTTGCTGTCAATTTCGAAACACGCGAATGTATTTTGTGTCTATCTCTAGTTGATCATTTTACATACTTTCCTGCTTCTCTCTCTCTATTGTTACGATACGGCTTACAATAAATGACGCCGGGTTAAAGATCGTGTTTCCCACTAATTATCATCCTTGTTCAACCGCGGTCAACTTGATGCTCTAACTTCGGCACGATTTCATAGGCGCGGCGTGCTAACGATTTTCTTTTACGATGCTTAGCTTACGACATCGTAGCGAGAAATGCGTTATAGGTCTGTTGTTAACTTTAATCGACGTTCCGCGTCTTATTTCGTCCACTGGATCTCTCGGCCAACGAGTTTTATTTATTTTGTATGCTTCTTGAGACTTCGCGACACATTTCAAGATTATATTATCGTTAAATTATTGATATATTCGTTGAATAAATAATTGTCTCGATAAATATATAGATGAGAAACGTGTTACGGCAGTTGTCTCTGTGGATAATTAAGGAATATTAATCAATCATCGAGACATACTTTGCGACAAGCTTCGCGCGCGAACCTTACGCGAAATGTTCCGCACGGTAAATAACGTGCTTCTAAAATTTAATTTAATTGCGGAAATTCTTGCGAACAACAACACGGCCTCGGTGTAATTAACGCCAGACTCTTTAACGTCAAATCCGCGTTCTCGTCTGAAAATGTATAGCATAATAGATATTACGTAACATTAATCAAGTCGCAGTCTAACCAAATGCTTGCGACGAAGCGTAAAGCGCATAACTTTTCAACGTTCAACAACCGTATATGCACGAGCAAATTTCTTTCCGACCACAGCTTCGCGGCCATCGAAATAAATAAAGACTTTCCTTCCGCGAAAATGTCGGTGGTCATCGTTTGTTCTTTTATCCGCGCTACTTTAGAGAAACCTCGTTGCATTTCAAGGAAATTTTCGCAGCAATTTTGTAAATAGCTCTCGCGGAAAAAAAAAGAGAACGAGAGAAGGAGGCAGGTAAATGAATGAATTTTGCCAACACGGAATGGAATTCGCACTCGCTCTAAATAAATTTGGTGCTAGCTTGCTCGGCCGAGCTTCCGGCTTGTTCGTTTCATAGAGTCTAATTTTAAGCTTGGCCGACTGGACGAATAGATGGATGGATAGATGGATGGATAGATGGATGGATGGATGGATGGGATGGGTAGATTGTTGGGTGGGTGGGTTGGTGGATAGATGGACGAATGGACGGGAATGCAATGTGGAAGCTCGTTAGATGCTCGCCTTATGGGAATAATTGAACCATCAGGCTCAGAAACGCGTGCGCGACGATCGATTCCTGTTTCGTCTTTCGGAGGGTAAATACGTTTGTTGATGACGGAAATTCTACTAATTATTTCAATGAACGAATCATCATTTTTCGTGTTCAATTAATTAATATCATCGCGAGCAATTTAGATTGAGAAAACAAATAATTTTCACATACTGTAAAATTAGATATCTTTTCCTTACATGTGCTTTCGATGATGATAATACTTTTTTTTTTTTTTTTGCACACTATGTCGTTATTCTATTGGAAAGAATTGATTATCGAACATTTTAATCGTTCTCTTCATCGAGATTATATTTGATCTTTAAAACCCAATTATACATATTATATGGTCAATTTGAACCATCTTACGCCGATATCGCCCGGTACAAAGTTTAACTCGATTTATATACCAAGTACAAGGGGAGACAATCCGGTTAAAGTGACTATATCTAAACGCCGTAAATAGATCATCGTCGGTGAAATGTCTTCACTCGGTGCACGAATTAGTATTAGCTTGGATAGGAGACGCTTGTGTATAGATAATATTTGCGTTACAACCGTTTAATCGTTTCGATAATGTTCGTGTAAAACGACGTAGAAGCTTCGACGATATATGTAAAATTTATGCGCGTATGAATATTCTGCGTTTTTTTCGCAATCGGTTGGAGAAATTTCGAGGCCAATTTGACATTTTTTTTAGTGATAAAAAAATAATTTTTTTTTCCTTATTCGACACATTAATAACGTCACTTTGACGCAAGACGCAAAGAATGTATCGCGGTGAACTCTCTATTCGGCCACGTTGCTATTATGTAGCCGCGTCTGTCGGCTTCCGGCTTTCCAATCTTCTCGTCTATCCGTATACTTTGCATATTGCTTTAGAGGCGTGTTTCTTTTCAGCGAGGATGCCGGGGCCAGCGTTTTGTAAGCGAGGCGCGTAACGTATCGAACAAGTCCGAAAAGTACCGTTTTGTAAGCGACGCGTCTGTCCCGCATACCGGGTGTCGAATTCGCAGGCTTTCGGCGGCGTTAATCATTCTATTTCGAGGAATCCCGAAGTAGCGGACGGTGTGTGTGCATTAGCAGACGCGTCTCTCATACTGACGTCAAACGTCGAATTTCTAAGCCAACTCCGCTTAGATCTCGACCAATAATCTCGCGGTTCACCTGCCAGCTTCGCCGCCACCGCCGACGGCATCCTCCCCCTCCCCCTTTTCCCTCCCCTCTCCACCCTCTCTCCCTTTCATTCGCTCAAGTCGAATATTATGCTCGGCTTGCGATCGCGAGCAAACTATGTGCACGCATCGCAACGCTCATCCATATTCATGCTAATTTCCATGCGGTTGTGCTCGTGAACGGTCGACTTTATTTTGCTCTTAATAATGCCGTTCAACCGATGCACCGTGTCTTATTTATGCAACTCATTAGCGCGACTTTTTTCTTGTCTCGAATACAGGGATTTGTAAAAAAAAAAAATGAATTTAATATACTTTTCGGAATTTATTTGGAAAATTGTGGAATCAGAGTTGAAGATAATTGGATCAATGCAGGTATCGTGATAAATGTGGGAACGTCAAGAAGGAGAAAAATAATAATTGAATAACACTATTGATTTCTAGAGATATTCTGGAAAAAGGGACGAACGTTTGATATTAAAGGCGAGCTTTTTTTTATCTGTTCACTCGATAAAATGTGTACGTCATTTCTCCACGAATTCATCCAGCATTTCTCATTCTCTAGTACAGCTTTCCTTTTTTTTTAGCCACTGTCTTGCTTTCGCCGCACATTAAATTTGTATTCAAACGAAAACAGCGGTAGTTGTTCATTTATGTAGCGCTGTGTTAGCGCGATTTTTTTTCCACGTGAATGTCGCAAAAAAAAAAATTATTGTTTTACTCGGACGAGAGGTGGAGACGACGAATTAGAACGTAGTCGAAGGAAAAATATTTTGGTCCGCGCGGTGAGAAAGAAAATGAA